CACAATTCTGGGCCCTGGTCATCGGTAAAGAAACTAGATGGGAATACACGTGGCCATCCATAAGGAGTTTAATAGCCCAGTATAATTTACCTTCTCTACTGTTCCTGATTATTCATGAGATGCTATTGGTTAGTCCCTTTTAGATGTTGTCACAGGTTTAAGGCAACCATTATAACATCACAACACATCCTCTATATATTTAGTCGGGGCAACACAGGTGTCGGCAAGCATATTTTCGTTTGCAATTTGCTACCAGAACTCGAATCCATAGAAGTTAATAGGCTTGACTGCCATACAATTTGGAAATATGAAAAATACGAGGGGGTCGCCTGGAGGATGGATTTGATTATTACTGTTGTTGTTGGTATGTTTAAATCCTGACTTCATAGTACATCAGCAATCATCATTTCTGCTTTCCCCTTCTTCCTCAGTTTCTGCAACAGGATCAGGGGCAAGATCTAAATCAGCGAGTATCCCTTTTAGCTTCTGACTTTATTTTCAGGGAATTCAGCTAATAGTAACAATTGATTAATATTACCTAGTGTATAGTATAACCTTGCATGCTTTGATGGAGATCAGCATTTTAGTCCTCTGCATTACTTCCCCAGATCGATCCGTAAGTGCACAGAGTCGTTCATAGTGTAATAAAAGAGCCCAAAAGGTTTTAGGGGTCGAACTCGCAGGAAGGCTACGTGTGCTATATCAAACATATGACAATAATGGAGATGGATAAAACTAAAATTGCAAATAGAGAGAAGCACAAGAGTTTATTTGACTTTTATTTTAATCTTAAATATAAAATTTTAATATATTTTATCTCTCATATTTATTTATTTTTTTTAAAATTAGTTTTTATAATAATAGTAGTTCTAGGTTTCTAGCCAATATACTTAATTAGCTAGAATATTTTAGGAAAGATCATATTTATTTATTGTAAATAATTAACTTAATTAGTTTTTTTAATCTATTTATATTAATCAACTAACTGTTGTACTAAGTATCGGTAATTTCTTCCCATCACATTGGTGGGAGGATGGTCTTCGCGTTTTGCGGGTCGGCCAACGGCCTCCGACAGGAAGCACGGCTTCTCCAAGAGCTTCTTATCCGTGGCCGGAGCCCGGAAGTGATCCTCATAGATATATCCCTATAATCCGCCCTTGGATGTGCTGTTGGGCTCCATTTTTTAAAAAGTTTTTTGGGCTTGTGTGGGGGCTAGAGTCGTACAGATCTTATACCTGGGCCGGGATTTTCCCTTTCACCTCTCATGCTTGGTAAAGTCATAATACATTCATCTTGTGAAAGTATGCTAATTCCAAGGCAAATTAAGCTATAATTACTAGGAATTGGGCAAGAAAATAGTCATATAATTAAGTAAATATTGGGCTTATCAGCTTGTAAGAATGCAGCAATTTAACCTCTGTTTCTTTTATATTCTTGCGGAAATCAAACCGGCCAAAATCTAGAACTCCTCGAATCTGACAGAAGTCACCTGAGATTACAAGGCTGGTGGTAGCTTCTCTGCCGCCAAAGCAAAATGGACGTTCCTCATAAAATATTGATCCGTCCTTCTGATTTGTTCTTGCTTCTTAGACTCTCTTTTTTTCCCCTGATGAATCTTCAGAGGTAGAAACGAAATCGTGGTTAATATTGGATGCCAATTATTATATGTCCTGCAAAATCTATTAATGTCTAACGTGTTGATTGATCTAGGTCATGGTTTTGGGTAATAAAATTTGACGGAGAGGTTTTTTTTTTTTTGGGAGGAAAAATTGTATTCGTATCATTCAATACAAGCACCAAGAAATTACAACCCAACAAAAGAAGGCAGTACCGAAGCCAACAAAACTATCAACGATAAAACACCAAACAAAGTAAATGAAAGCTAAAAGAAAAATTTGACGGAGAGTTATAACATAGTTTGTTGGCAGAATTTGTCAGGGGAAAGGTTTACTTCTCCACTCCTGTATCTTTATATTTTTACTATTAGATGAAACTTGGATACTTGATATTTAATATTTCACAAATTTTTTCTTACTTCTTTTACTATAAATTCTAAACTGTTTAATAATAGTTCTATGAAATACCAAATCCATGGTTTGATGTTGAGCTCACGTAAGAGATGGGAACATTTCAGTTCTTTAAAAACAGAGCTATTCCTGCAGCTTATCTCTCTTCATCATGTAAAATTGTCCTTTAGCCAATGAAGGTCACCGACGGCAAGGAGGAAATTCAACGCACTAACAATCAGTCGCACAAGACATAGGTACATGACAGGGTTCATATGTAAATTTATTCTTTAAACGATAAAGACCACCGAAAGAAACTATTATTCAAGGCATTTAAACAACTCTGATGTAACATCATATGTTTTTCTGAGCTATCTGGATGAGAGACTGGCAAACTTCTTGAGGTCTAGAAAGCATAGCCATATGATCCGAGTCCTTGATTTCCAGGACATGGTCAATTCCAGCATTTTCAATCATCCAACTTTGATATTCCAATGGAATTATTGCGTCCTCCCCACAGACAATATAAGCCTTTGGAACCGAACCATACCCTTCTTCTGAGAAATTCTTTGCCTTCTGTAATTCTTCAACGAACAGATATCCTGGCCTTATCAACATCTTGGCTAACTCAAGATCCTGCATCGACAACCCAGTTAGCATCCCTCTTCCAATCTAAAACCTCTTGTTTTCTTCGTTTAAAAATTATTGTATAGAACTAAAAATCTATGCATTCAAGACAATTGAACACGGTAGGTATAGCCATGATCAGTACCTCAATGGGACAGAGTTGATAAAGTTTGGTGGACAAACACTTGGACCCAAAAATCATTGATGCAGATCCAGATGATGAAATCTCCATGTTGTACACTTCATTCAGTTCTGCTGTCTCCTTAGCCTTGTAATGCATATAAATTTAAAAGTTAAGAACTTTTAACGCACACGCACGCCAAGCTCATATTTTACAAATAAGATTTGCATTTATTTGATAAATGAGAAATAGATGTGGTTCAGAAACCAAAAGCATATATACCTGTTGTTCTATGACATAAGAGGGTGGGTGTTTGGTATCAGGAACAAAAGCTGTTAAGAAAACAGCAAGTTCTATCTTATGAGGGAACCTGTCCATGGCAAGAGCTAAACTCAACCCTCCAAAGCTGTGTCCAACAAGAACAACCTTTTCACTTGGAGGAAGAGATTCTAGCAACTCTAAGAGGGGCCCAGAATACTCAGAAAAACTACGAATATCTTCGATTCTCTTGGGGTTGATGCCTGAGGCTGCAAGATCCAGTACTGTGACCTTGTTGCCGGAAGACTGAAGTCGAGGCTTGAGCTTGTACCAGCACCAAGCTCCATGGCAAACTCCGTGCACCAAAACATAATGCTTTCCTTCCATTGTTTTCACTCCTTACTTCAGAAGCTACAAATGTTTGGGGATTATTATATAGATGGCGCTTATCTCTATTGAATCTTAATGCTATAAGTAAATGTTACTCCTCCGGTCCTTAATATAAGACCCATTTAACTAATTTGATTAGATTAAGGAAGTTAGGTAAGTTAGTTAATTATAAAAAAAGTGATACGTTTTTCCTAAAATACCATAATCATCTTTCTTAATACCCCATCTCCCTTTTCTATTTGATTATGGTTGAGGAAGTATCCATAAGGGTAATTTAGAGAAAATTGACAAATATAAGAAATGGGTCTTATATTTAGAACCAAAACCAACTTAAAAATTGAGTCTTATATTAAAGACCGGAGGAGTATTTAAAACAGGCATTCAATGTTTTGGGTCAATGTGGTCACAAGCATTGAGTTGGCTTTATGACAAAATGTGTTTTGGTAGTCCTTAAATGATTATTATAATGTGGCACTGCCATTAAGGTTATGCTTTAAAATAATGCCCCTACCACACCAATTGATTGTGAGTTAATTAGCGATCGGTTTTGTTTGACTACGTGCCCAAGAAAAAAATCTCATTAATGATATTTTTTAATTTTACCTCAATTTAATTTCTCTTGGAAAGAGACAAAGAAGAGAAAGAATTGATAATTGATAATGATTTGTAAATGTAGGAAGAAAATTTTTTTAATAGAAACAAATTTAAAAACTTTTATCAATTTAAGATGTATTCAAAATTTAATTATTATTCTTTGATGCATGAGAATAAGTTACAACTTATAAGCCACTTATAATAGGCACGGAGGTTTTTTTTTTTTTTTTATACCAATAAGATAATTCCCAGCACTATAAAGAGTGGTTTGAATTCAGGTGCTAAGGCCACAATTTCTTCGGTAGATTATCTAGAAACAATTTTATTAATACTCTTTAATCTGTGAATACTGGCTTGCCTTCATGAGTTCTCATAATCCAAATTATTTAAAATTTTGTGTATAAAGCATACGTTTCCAAATCTTCTTTTTTTAGGAAAAATTTTTGTCTATTTTTTCTGCATATTTATTACAATAACTAACAAAAATATAATATTTATTACTATTACTATTATTTAATCTAATAACAAGTGTTATTTTTTATTCCAGTTTAACCAAAAAAATATACCAGTCTAATAAATTTGTTTGAGTCTTAATTTCAACTCTGCGGTAACCAATTCATTTCTTGAGTTGAATGATGAGTTGTACATGTTGCCTCTAAAAGTCTAATTAAACAGAAATTTGCCCAAATCCGCCCATCTCTTAATAACACAATAGTACACCATTAAATTAATCCAACGAGTTTGCATCCCTCAATGCACACCATTAAGAGTGCCTAATGAAATGCTAATGAGTTGTTCGTCAAGAGACTAGAGTTTGAAAAATACAAATCATGATATTGTCCTCTTTATTTAGGAATTATAGCATCGATTACGAGGACACAGATATATGATTGCATCACTTCTGCTAGGAGCTATTGATGCAGCACGATATTTGGATTGGAATACTACTTAACATAATCAATACATATGGGTAAGCTAGAGGAAGCCATAATGTTCATTAATCATCAGGTAAAGTTATTAGCAATGTGGAGGAGAGCCAAGCAAAGTTGATGTGGCTTGGAAAGCATGGCCCACTACCAGAAAAAAGGCTTTTAACGGCGGTTAAAAGTGGCTTTTAACGGCGGTTTTGAAGGCGAAATTGTTAAAGGCGACATTGAAAGGTAAGGAAAACACGGCGGTTTATATTTAACCGCCGTGGAAAGTCCATTTTCCACAGCGGTTAAATATAAAACCGCCGTGGAAAAGGATTTTAACGGCGGTTATATGTATAACCGCCGTTAAAAATGACTTTTTTTTTTAGATTCTGCTTTATTTTCGTGTTTACCACCCTGCAGTTTACAGTTCCAAACAAATGTAGGCAGTGCAGATCACGCAGAACAAGATCAATTAGCTAGTTAATATACAGCAATGAAATTTTTTTTTACACAATTCGAAAATAGGAAAACCGGCCAATATAATAGAACTAAGTGGTTACCAAGGAACACGTATTGGCTAGGTCCAACAATTCTGAAATAGAAGTAACTACTTCTCTGTACAATGGAAATCATGAACAATATAAGAGGGAACCGAGAGAAAGCATCTAACAATGAATTTTTTGAGAAATAACCTATCTATTTGAAAGCTAAATTTCAATTTTTTCTACCAATGTTGTTGACAAAGTGTCCCTCATCAAGTTGATGTCATCCATGAGATATGGCGCAGTATTTTGAAATATCTGTTAATCAAAAATAACATAGTAAACTTAGTCAAAAATGTGAAATAAATTGAAGAACGTCATGCAACGTAACTCATCTTTACCTCGTCTAATTTCTCAGTCGTTCCTGTCTCAATTATGTCATTCATGTAGCGGATGACATAATATCCACACTCAACATGTCCTTGTTGACAACGGTACTAAAAAAATAAGATATAAAATTGAATATTAGACATTATTGATTATAAACATTAACTTTAATTCATCCAAAAATGTTTAAAAGTTAGTTCAAAACAACATATACCTGTGGAAGAATCCATGTTGGTGCTTGTCTATTTTGTTTAATCGCCACGACATTAAAAGTATGAAAAGCCCTATCAACATTATAAGAGAAAATGATATTAGAGCATGCTTGTATAAACTTCACAAGTAATAAATATATAAATAAAAACTAACGTGTCGATGACATCTTTGGTTTCTTCGGATGGACTTCCACAGAGTGAATCGAACCAGTAAACTTTGTTGTCAAAAGGGGCACAAACAATTAGAGTCCAATGATAACTGCAAAAGGCAAACCATGTTAATTATAACCCGACACATACAACTTGTATATCTCAAATACAATAATACACTTACCCTTCCACGTAAGGTGCAAAATATATTAGCTTTTTGGTCTGACTCATTGCGGTCATAATGTAGATTGACCTTGCTTCCACAGTATTAAATTCTTTCTGCACCCTTTGAGGACACATAAAGCCATATGTTCTTTCAAGTCCTCCGTTTCGACAGATTTGATTAAAATGCCTGTTGTTCAAGTAAAAAACATTAGGACATGCATGAAGTATAATATGTAATAAGAAAATGATATTGTAACTTACAAAATAGCAAGCTGCATGAAGGCTATATCAAGCTCCTCAAAGTTGAGGAACTGAACGAGGTCCCTCTTGTCAATGGTGAAGTCGTATGTTATATCTGAACCCACAACCCCCAACGGCATCTTGAAAGTCACAGGCTTATCCATGTTTGGCACCATGGAATGAAGAACCTCCAAACTGGAATACATAAGCGCAACATCACTAGGAAGAGGCAAGAGTACAGGATCAGATGATGCGCTCGTTGTGGCCTTCTTTGCTGCCGCCTTCTTCACTATTGGCTTTGTAATAAGTCTCTTTGGCCACAAAATGAAATGTCCTTTAGCTTGGGCCAAGAGTCGAACCTCATCAGTAGGATTAGGCACTGGTGTACCCCCTGACCACGAACAATCCTCTCCACTGTCACCCTTGCTTGATTGCTCGGAATTTTGTTGCCGTGAATCGTTGTGCCCATGAATGCTCGACCACTAGCAACATGAACAGGTGAATTTTCATAATCCACATAGAGAGAACACGGCATCCCATTGTCTTCGACAGGGTCAGGGCTAGGGTCAGGGTCAGACACTGTCAGTGGCTGTGTCTGATTATTACTGCCCTTTCCGCTTTTTATCACAGGTGAACCCTGAAACATAATATGAAATTAGTTAAGAAACATTAAATAAGTTTAAATGGATCAAATGAATCTTTAGAAGATTTAAAAAGATGTGTGATTATTACCTGGGAAGGTTCAGATACTCGGGGCATCTGGAATCCGCTCGTACCCATCATCATCAAAGTCTGTTGAAACTTGGCATCGAATTCATCACGTATCTTTTGCATCTCTGCCATGTGTTGTTGACTTAGTTCAGCTCGAACTCTCTCTGTTTCTTCTTGTAGTCGTTGGTCGAGCTCCTCTTTAGATACCATGTTAGCGGAGGATGATCTGGTGCTTCTTCGTGAAGCAGAGCCAAAAAATTCTTTAATACCAATCCCTTTAGGGGCCCCTCGGACTCTTCCGGGATGGTCAGCCTTTCCAATAGCAGTGGCCAAGATATCCATCCGTCCTTGAGGGATGAATGTACCTTGAGATAATTGCTCCTCAAGTGTATCCTATATCATTAAAACAACAAATTCAATTTAAGATAATTGAAAAAAACAATTAATGAAGCATAATTCTTAAATATTACTTACAATCCTCTCAGCAACAGCAGCAGACTGTGGAGTAATGTATTGACCCTTTTTAATCCTCGCCGCCTTCCATTTTTCTTGGCGAGAAGGACGCTCAATAGATGGCATGTAGCCAGTAGGATCTGAAGCAGCAGCCATCTGTGCATTCTTCAGTCGTTCCTCCATCATACTTCTTTCCAACCCACCATACCCTGCACGAGACATGGTATGTGGGTATACATTCTGCTCAGATATTTGTTTGTTCTTCTGACTCAATGCCTATGACAATGAAACCAAATCGACAAAATTAGTTTAGTTAAATAAAATATGACCTGATTAAAAAATAAGTTTGAAGAAACCAAACCTGAAATGCAGGGTCTTCACGTTGCTTCACAAAATTCTCCCATGCCTCTTCACTAATAAATGAATATCGTTCCTTAGGATGCTCACCCTTTCTTTTTCCATTAATATAATGTGTTGTAAGCATGGACTTAAAATCCCTCCACCGTTCAGCAATTTGCTTCAACAGACGGTCTCTCATTTGTTTAGTGGCAGGAATATCAAATGTCAGCTGCATGCAATACAATAATAGCATAGAGTTATAAAGTAAATAAACAACTATAATTGAAACAAGTAGAGAAAACAATGCACAATATACCAATATATCCTCCCAAAGGTTTTTCTTCAAATCTTTGTCCACCTTCTTTCAGTTAGGAATGTCAATGCTAATTTTACTGCGTGCGAGATAACCCACATAACTAGTAAATTGAGCCCCATCCTTTCCTATAGGCTTCAGATCATCATCAAACTCCACTGTAATCCTCATAGGCTGTGTGCTCTCATCACGTAAAGCTAAATGCCTCATATGGGTTGGCCCTCTACCCTTTCTCCGGCTAGTAAAAGAGTTGTCATCACCAGAACCCTGTTGACCGGATCCGTCCATTTCCTGTTTAAAGAACAAGGAATTAATAAATGTAAGAATAAAAAATATCAAGTTAATATAAAACATTATATTATTAAGTATATTTAGCAAAAAAAAATCAAAAATTCATTTGAGGCTTACAACGATTATCCTCCCAAATTCCTTCACAATGATCATCTCTAACAGCATAGTCATCATCTACCAAATCTAATTCAACTGCTTTAGGTCGAGTAGCTGTGAAAGGCGGGGTTTCATCAAGATTAAGCTCTAAGTCACCATCATCTCCACCAACTCCTTGCCTTTTACCTTGAAGCACGATAGACAATTTCTTTTTTGCTAGATCGGGAACGAAGAACACTTGTTTTGCTTGACTTGCCAAAATAAATGGCTCGTCTCCGTATCCAAACCTCTCAAGATCGACCGAAACAAATCCAAATTCTTCATCCACTTGCACAGCATTACTATTAACCCACTTACATTTGAAGACGGGAACTTTAAACTTGGTATAACTAACCTCCCATATCTCTTCTATTATTCCATAATAGGACATTGCCGCCAACATTGGGTTTCTGTCTTTAGAACTAGCAAAATGCATGGCTTCCGCTACTACCATCACCCCACTATTCTGCATAGTACTCTTATCGTCTTGGGTTTTTGTGTAAAAAGAATAACCATTTATATCATATCCACCCCAACACAAAACCTCAAAAGAAGGCCCTGCAGCTAGCCTCTGTATTGTCTCAGAAGGATTGCCATCTTTTAACACTTCTCGCTTGAACCACTCTGCAAATGACTTATTATGTTCATTAGCTAGTTGCATGTCACTCTTTCTTGGATTCAAGTTCCTCAGCATATTCTTGTGAGCATTTAAGTACGGCAAAACTTCATCCGTGTTGTTTAAAATGTATAGATGTGCTTGCATTACAACTTCTCTTGACATAGACCTCACTATGACACCCCGTGTTCCCTTGCTTCTTCTCCCTTGATCATGTCGAGATTGAGGAAGACCAACTGCCTTTACCCTGTCAAGATATGCGTTACAAAACTCAACTGCCTCCTCAGCTACATATCTCTCAACAATTGATGCCTCAGGCCGATAAGGATTCTTAGAGTACCCTTTTAGGATTTTCATGTATCTCTCAAAAGGGTACATCCATCTTAAACACACAGGGCCACAAAGTCTTATCTCTCGCACAAGATGAGCTATCAAGTGGACCATAATATCAAAAAATGATGGAGGAAAATGCATTTCCAATTGAGAGAGGATCACATAACCTTCATTTTCTAATTCATCCAACTCAGCAGGATCAATGACTTTGCTGCAAATGGCACTAAAAAACATACAAAGTCTTGTAATAGTATTTCTCACATCGGTTTTCATAATGCCTCGAATAGCAAGTGGAAGTAATTGTTGCATCAACACATGACAATCATGAGACTTCATTCCCGTTATCTTCAAATCTTGCATTGAAACAAGTTTGCTTAAATTAGAAGAATAACCTTGTGGCACCTTAATAGTATTGACAAAACCACAGAAACTTCTTTTCTCTTCTTTTGATAATGTGTGCGCAGCTGGATGTAAATAAGCCCTCTTACCATCTCTTTCTTGTGGGTGAAGGACATTTCTTATTCCAATTTCGACTAAGTCTCGTCTTGTATTGATTCCATCTTTAGTCTTTCCACTTATATGCAAAAGTGTACCAACAAGACTCTCACATACATTCTTCTCCACATGCATCACGTCTAGACTATGCCTCACATCAAGACTTCGCCAATATGGAAGATCAAAAAAGACAGATCTTTTTTTCCATATATTTCTCTCACTAGCAGTCTTCTTCTTCTTCTTCTTACCGAAGACCACATTAATTCCCTCCACCCGCTGATAAACTTCTTCTCCAGTTAATGGTCTTGGAGCCATTTCATATTCTTGTGAGCCATTAAATGCCTTTTTCAATCTACGGTAAGGGTGATACCGACTAAGAAACCTTCTGTGACCAAGGTATACTGTCTTCCTGCCATGTTTAAGTTGCATATAGTGGGTGCCTTCTTCACATATCGGGCATGCTTTATGCCCCTTAACACTGTATCCAGACAAATTTCCATATGCTAGAAAGTCATTTATCGTGGTGAAGATCATGGCACGTAAATTGAAGGTCTCTTGTTTATATGCATCAAACACATCAACACCTTCCTCCCATAATTTCTTCAGATCCTCAATCAAAGGTGCCAAATACACATCAATATCGTTTCCCGGTTGTTTTGGCCCCGAGATCATCAAAGATAGCATGATATACTTTCTTTTCATACATAACCAAGAGGCAAGTTGTAAATTACGAGGAGCACTGGCCAAGCACTGTGTGTGCTACTAAGATTACCATATGGGTTAATTCCATCCGTACAAAGCCCTAGCCGAAGGTTTCTTGGCTCGCCACCAAATTGAGGAAATTTTTGATCTATTGTTTTCCATTGAGGAGAATCTGCTGGGTGACGAAGCTTTCCATCACATATTTTCTCATCAAAATGCCATCTCAAGTTCTTTGCATCTGTGGCATTAGCAAATAGACGCTTAAATCGTGGTATTATTGGAAGATACCACAGAACCTTTAAAGGAGAACCTTTGGTCATCTCATTATAATCACCATCATCTTTCTTCATTTTGTATCTTGAAGTCCCACATTTAGGGCACTTATTCAACTCTTCATAATCATTTCTGAATAATATGCAGTCATTAGGACACGCATGTATCTTCTCATATTCCAAACCCATCGGACACAAAATTTTTTTGCCTCATACATTCGTTTCGGAAGTGAATTCCCTTTGGGAAGAATATCACTCAGCAATTCAAGCAATTCCGTAAAACTAGCATCGGTCCAACCATTTCTTGCCTTCAAATTCATCAGTTTCAATACGGTTGTCAATCTTGTGTAATCATCTTTGCACCCCGGGTATAAAGGTGTCTCTGCATCACTACACAAAGTTCAAAGGTGGAAGAAAACTGTGTAGAAGATTCAGACCTTATATCACGAAACATATATGAAATTCTATCACCAAAGTCTTCATTCACAACCTTCTCATTTGCAGACAGTGTAGTCTTTCTAATTTCTCCATGCCATATCCAATTTGTATACCTCAAATTTATCCCATCACAGATAAGATGCTCTTTTATCTCAGAAATACTCCGTCGACTATTGTTTAAACATTTGACACAAGGACAATAGTACAATCCATCTCCTTTACTAGGGGCATTTCTCTGAGCAAACTCAAGAAACTTTTCAACCTCATCCTCATATTCCTTGCTAATTCTCTTAGCTTTCATCCAACTACGATCCATTGTTCTACAGATTATTTAAACAATACTTTACTATCAATCAAAATTCATAACGAAGGAAAAAAAAATACAAAATAACTAACAGATTATTTATCACTAAATTCTTATATTTATTACAAAAAATTATCAAAAATTCGAAATAAATATCAAAAAATTATAAAAAAATTTAAAAACTTCACAACTAATCAACTCCAAACATTTAAACATATTTCTAATACAGTATATAAAAAGGAATTAAGGTTTTCTCACATCTAATGCCTACCAATTAACACCAATCAACGGTTCAACCACATAAAAAATGCAAAATGAACAATACAAGTCAACCACAATGTAAAACTAACAACCCCATTTCATATATAACAGATTTTCATGGCTAAAACATTCAACAAACCAAGAAAAATTGAAAAGAATGAAAGAAGAGGATACTCACAGAGCAGAGAAGCTTCAAACGCGAAGTGAGGCGGCGGCGGACGGCGGCAACGCACTAGTTTTCGGTTAGATAGTGGGGGGTAGGACCGGTTTTCGGTGGTGGACCACGGCTGAGCAAGAACGGACGGAAATGGGAGGCGGTCGACCACGGCGGACTGCGGTGCACGGCGGCAAGGCTCCAAGAGCTCAATGGAGGAGTTTAAACGGTGGGATAGTGGTGGGAATGGCCGGTAATGGTAGTTTTACGGTGGTGGGGCAGAGGGGGACCACGGCGCACTGAAGAAATGAGAAAGAAAGTGAAGAGAGTCAAGCGGCCGCGGGGGTTTGAAGACACACTTTCCACGGCGGTTTTCTTAAAAACTACCGTGGAAAGTCATACCCTCTTCAACTTATTTACAAAAATGCCACCGCGTTTTTTTCCACTTCGTTTTTCTACTGAACCGCCGTTAGTTTGCGACGTTAAAAGTCTTTTTTCTAGTAGTAGCCATATGATCAGCATCCTTGATTTCAGTAACCTCATGAACACAAGCATTTTGGATCATCCATTTCTGAAACTCCATTGGAATCGCCAAGTCCTCATTGCACACAATATAACCTACTGGAGCCGACCCATATCCCTCTTTGCTGAAGTTCTTGGCCTCCCTCAGTTCTTCAAGAAAAAGCGAACCTGGCCTTACCAAAGTCTTGGCCATTTCGAGATCCTGCAAAGCCAATAAAAGGTCAATTCCATATGTTGAATTGGCTTGAAAGCAGGAAGCCATACGTACGTACCTCAGAGGAGCAGAGTTGGTAGAGCTTCTCGCATAAGAAATTGGGTCCGAATGTGATGCTTCCGCGGGGCGATAACTCAGTGTCTAAGCATCCACTCCCATTAGGATGGTTTCTTTCTACGTACTAGTCATGTTTCAAGTTTATTTCATATTAAAGGGTCTGTTAGTATAATATATACTCTATATAATCATTAAGGGTACCCTATATAATCATTAACTTACTTTAAGTTAAAAATTGCAATTACATATGTTACACTTTGATGATCCAAGTTTGACTTGGCTTTCGATGTAATTTTTATGAATTAACATTTTGTAACTAAATAGTCCGTATAGTTTCGCATGTCTAATTTTTTTAAATCTTTCACTTTTATATGTTAAAATAACCGACTTCAACCAGTTCGCATAGATTGTATTAAATGAATTATCAAAAAATCATATGACTGGTGGAGTCATATGTAACCTTTAAATCTTTTGGGTTACATAAATATCTTTGATTATTCATTTATCTCGTATATGCATGTATATATTTAGGTTTAATGTTATGTCATAAAACTTGAAGAAGTTATTTATGCATAATTGAAAGTTTAAGGGGATTATGTATAAAAACTACAAATTTAGGAGTTCGATTTGGCATTAACTAGCTGCATCATCATATCAATAACAAAAACGAATTATTAGTACAAGTTGGATTTAACAGAATGAGCTAGTTTCTTATATTGTGATGAACTAAGATTCAAATCTCCTATAAAAGTTAAACAGAATTGCCTTTAATAAAGAGATACTTGTACCTAACAAAAAAAAAAGGAATTGTAGGCTCATCACTATGGCGAACCATACCTGGTCCAAGACATATGAAGGCGGGTGTTGGGTATCAGGAACAAAAGCTGCTAAGAAAATGGCAAGTTCTATCTTATGAGGGAACTTGTCCATGGCAAGGGCTAAACTCAACCCTCCAAAGCTGTGTCCGACAAGAACCACCTTTTCACTTGGAGGCAGTGATTCTAACAGCTCTAAGAGAGGCTCACAATACTCAGCAAAACTATGAACATGTTCCATTCTCTTAGGGTTGATGCCTGAGGCTGCAAGGTCCAGTACCGTGACCTTGTTGCCCGCAGACTGAAGCTGTGGCTTGAGCTTAAACCAGCACCAAGCTCCATGGCAAGCTCCATGCACCAGGACATAATGCCTTTTGTTCTTATTTTCTGTAGTCATTTTAGATCGGATTTGAGAGATTCCCCACTTCAATGAAAGCCAGTAACTAACTTGGCAAGTAAGTGTGTGTGTGTGTGTGTAGAGAGAGAGAGAATCAATCATGCGAAGTTGGTGACTACCCCATCAGGGGATTTGAGAGACCTTTGAGTAACTGGGTATTTATGAAGAGATGGGGCCAGGAGGCGGGAATATATCTCTACCGAGCAATCCCTTGGACTCATATTATAGAGGCATCAACTCATGGTTCTCTTTACAAGTAGGGTTGAAAACAGGCTAGGCCTGTAGTGAAGCTTGTTAGCTTGAGTTTGGCTGACGGCTTATGAAAAGCTTTTTGTTTAGCCTGAGTCTAACCTGTAATTAAGTCTGGCCTGACCTGTGGCCTGTTAAGAAACTTATTTTTTTTTAATAAATTTTAAACACACATAAACCAATTTAAAATTATAATAACTCACCCAAATTATCTAAAATATAAACAAAAAATATGAAATTATCAAATTAACACAATTTGTTCTTGCTAGTTACTACAATTACAATAAATCATCAAACCACAAAGCATTAAATCTTCAGCACAATTTTTTCTTCTTTTCAAAACACCTAAGAAGAAAAAATCAAATATGTATTAGATCATAACAAAATTTAATAACTAATAAACATAAGAAATGGTATTATTTTTAGAATTCAAAATTTGTACTTTTGATTTAAGGTAAGTTCATTAAATTTAAGGTAAGTTCTTACGGTGTTCATTAAATTTAAGGTAAGTTCCAAGTATCCAAATTCTCAAGAGCTTCAAATCTGGTGTGTTTATAAAGAGAAACTAGTGATTTGGTGCGAAAAATAAAGCTAAGTATTTTATTTTTTGAGCCCCTGTCAGTTTACATATTTAACCTCAAAACAAAAAAAAATAACAGCCCCAAACCATCTGACAAGCCTAATAGGCTTATTATCAAGCCTAAATCTGATCTAATAAGGTAAACAGGCGCTTTTACAAGTCTGAGCCTGTTCTTATATTTAAATAGACTAGGTCAGGCCAGACCACAGGCTTCTGACAGGCCCTCTAGCCTATTTCTACCCCTATCTACAAGCTACAGAAAACAAATTAGGCAAGACCACATGATTCACAATTAATTATTTTGTAAGTGTGACAGTGGGAAATATTCGCAAATCTAGTTGTATGTCCTTGCCTGACGTTATACAAAGCGAATGGAAATCCGTACTCAAAAAGATAGGTAGAGTCTGTAAGCAAGTTAGAACAATAAGGTGCTTGTGGGACTCATCTTCCTCATATGAGGAAAGGTGTTTGTTGGCGCTTGCGTTGGTGATATGGATTACCCGTTTTGGACAAATTTATATGTGGAAATGGAAAAGCCGGGTGAATAAAACGAGTCTGTATTTCAGAAACCCGATGTTGCTGAAGTTAGATAGAGTTACCATTAAAGTTAATAACGTAATTGATTGAGGGACTCGGCTTCGAGAGTTGTTGCCAATACGAATGCTCATTGCTCTCTGATTATGATGACTGTCTACCCCTTACCCACAAATTTAAATTCGGAATGTTCACAAAGCCACGACTCCACCCAATTCACTTCAAGGCATGTTTCGTAGTTAAGCGAAATATTGTTGTTGTTATTGTTATTATTATTGTTACCTCAAGAATAAAAATATATCTAACACCTTAATTTTATTAGGTACATTTTGCATCCTGACTTTTTTTTCACTGTGAATTCAGTATTATGATTTTATTTTTTGGGTGTATTTAGTATTTTAAAAATTAGAGCGTTCAATGTAATTAAAAAATAATTTTGACATAACTAATGTTCCAAAAAAATAGGATCAAGATGCTGAATGCAACTTCAACCTGGTTTAATAACATTTCTTTTATTTTAATGTCATATTTAAAAGCAAAAACATTGAGAAGTTTTTTTTATTAATTATTTAATCTTATTTTGAATGACTACTTATATACGGAATAAGTGGGGTTTGGTTGTTGAGTTTATATTTACGTATTTTAGTTTAATAACATCTATCATCTTTTTTTTTTCCCAATTTTTTAAAGATAAAAACATTGAGAAGCTTTTTAATTTCAATTTTTATATTTTATTTTTTATGCTTATTGAAGCGCCCGAGTCTGCACGGATCTTGATAAATTTGAAAGAAGCAAGCATCATTAAATTTATTCCAGACACATACACACAGACACACGCACAAAAATGTGGCCGCCCGCGGTGTTTTTTGTATTTTTAATTTCCATTTGAGACTGGATAGGAGCCATCCCAGCCCAGCCCATATGCTGGCCTGATCAAGCATATTAAGCTTTTTAAAAAAACAAAAACTACCCGTGTTCGGCGCGGCCCGACTTGGCCAGACAACAATAGGACAATCAGGCTCCCTAACTGGATGAACATCCCAGCTTAAATCACCCTTTTTCTCAATTAAGGAGAAACTATTTTGGAAGTACTTATACCTTTTTTTTTTTAATTTTCAATTTGACACTTATGCATTTTTTTTCTTATTTAAATCTTTAATTTTGCTCTATTAACATTGTCAACCCTTGCATAGAGACTAAAAATGCTAATAAAACAAAGTTACAAGAACTAACGTTGCTAAAAAAGTAAAATTAAATGATTTAATTAAGAGAAAAAACATATAAGTACCAAATTAAAAATTAAAAAAAAAATATAGGCACCTCTGATATGATTTTTCCTTTAATTAATAACAATATAAATCTAATGAGGCTGGAGCCACTTCTTCAAATTCCCTGACCAAAGCGGAGATCAAGCAATTTTCACAAGCATGATAAATAAGGCGGCTGATATGCAAGAAGACTCGCAAGTCACGAACATTTGAAAATATATACAAGACCATAAATAGTAATCGCAGAACAAACATACTTCCAAGAGAGAGATAGAAAAGAAGGAGAAAAAGAAAGGCTACTCAAAAGCAAATATTTACAAGGGCAAGTAAACTAAACCTTGCTTCATTTAGCTTTATTCAGCTCTCTATATCCAGCACATGATTATGCACAATAACAATCCACGGAACCACATGCGCCCTGTCAGAACTGACAATCAACTTAGCATGGTTGGATGCCCAGACTGGAGCATCCTCTTTATCATGTCCATCCCGAAAGCAGAATCTGATGAACTGGTCAATGGCACCTTAATATTAACTCAGCAGTCTAATTTATGAGCTCCACATCAATTAAGAGGAGCAGAAAGAACTGCAACTCATGAAAAGAAACAAGAGCAAGACCACTAGAGAGCAGTGGAAATCTGGGATTTTGACGGTTACCAACATAGTACCAAGATGATGAAAATCAGCTGGAAGTGAAAAAGAGCAGTCCACTAAAGACAAAAAGGACTCTAAATTCAAACAAAGAAATTGCCAGACCATCATGGACATATCAGCTACAGACTCACAAGGGTCACCCAACGGGCTAGATATTATGAAGAGTTAATCTAGAAAGACCCATCAACACCTAGCTTCTTGATATGACGAAAAGTAATGCAATAGTTATATAAACTCAAGCAGAATTGCCCTTGCAATTCTCATAATCCCCACTAGTGTTGAGAAAAGAAATGACCGCCAATTGCCACCTTGCATCAGCCCAAACAGACATCTCACATCCTGATACGCCAGCAACTTCAGTGTAACAAATAGCAGCAAGAGACTACTTATAGCAGAACTAGTCAAAAAATCAAGGAAAACATTGCAAGCGTAACTGTTTCAATATGTGCTCTTTAAACTATAAACTGCTTTGGTTTCTTAAAACTTGATTGTGCACAAAATCATTTCCCAGGAAAGCTTTAGTGACACGCAATTAGCGTTCTCAACAAGGTCTCTCCCTCTCTTCTAAGAAACTTCATAAGACACCGCTCATCAATCCACAACAGAATTAAAAAAATGTCGTGGCCCTTCACAAATACTCCCAGAATAAAACACTTTCAGATATATAAAGAACGGACTTACACACAAGTGCCGGAAAATTAAGCTAAAAATACATTACTTTAGAAACAACTACACAACACTGGTAGAAGAACATCACACAAAACAAAAGAGAAAAAAATACAACCCACCCACAAATCACTGAAACACTAGACAAGAACACACTGGGTTGCCAATCTTTCAAGAGGATTGGCTCCGTCCACTCCAATGCCTAACCCTGATTCAAATTCTTCTCTCCTCCCTTGCTCAGCCAAAAGGGAATATTTATAGACCCAAAAATGACTTTCACAGCCCCCAATTCATAGACTTTGACTATAGCAGTCCTATAGCTACTCTGCTCTCTACTTCTTTCTTCAAAATAGCAAATCAAACTTCTGCCCATCGAGAAGTTTTTTTTTTTTTCCTTCCTTCCTTCCCTTTCATGTATCTTCCTAGGTCTCTAAAAGTGGTCCTAGAAAAAACCCATCCAAATTTGGATCGAAATAACCTCATCACAAAGAAGTATCCTGAAGCATCATAAAATTCTAGTAAAGAAAACTAATGAGAAATATTATAGCAATATTGAAAGCCATAGTTAGAATCTGGGTAGCCAGAGCAAAGATAACTGACCTGGGTATAGTAATTTCAAAGGGGAATGAAATGACACCCTCAAGATTTGGTATGGGAGGAACATGGTCCTTCTTTTCGTTAACAAATTTAATAATTTGAAACAAAACTTCTCGAAGTGATGATTCAAGTGCTGCGCTTCTTGCATTTCTATCTTCAAGTGCTCCCTCTAAACATAAGCAGAATGGGAAACAGGTAAGGAAGGGAAAAAGACATTAGATGGAGTGAAGCAGTTCTCTACGTAGTGGTAAGGCAAGGAGGATAAATTTAATCACCTCCTGGATCAGCAACTTTAGAATGATGAGATTTGCTAGAGTGAACCTTTGGATGCTGGGCTACATTCAGATTAATATACCATTGCTCCCAATACAAGCGCTCACTCTTACTGAACCAAGATGCATGTTTGTTTTTTTCTTCATAGAAAGATAAGCATACCTGCATCATCAGAATTCAGAAGCCTGTTATAAAGAATAAGCATAAATATTAATTAAATAAAAAAAATCAATGCCCAGAGAATAGAGATAGCACTTATAGCAATAAACTTTGATTGTGATATATAATATAAGTCACTTGTAACAGTCTCACATGCCAAAAGCATTAAATTGTCAAAATTTACCAATTTTAACCCTATTAAAAGTTTCCTCTCTCTACATTTAAAAATCATTCTCATATCTCTCCCTTGTTTCTCTTTCCAATGAGAATTAGATAAGGGTAAAATTGGAAAACAAGCATTAAATATACTACAAGGGACTTAAATTTTGGACCAAAACTTCTCCCTACAACTACAAGTGACCTACATTTGGAACGAGAGTGGTCGAGCAAAAGAGAATATATATGATACATTAAGACTGTGCTACGCATTTTGCATAATTTGCATTCAGTTAATATCTTTAAATCCCAAAAAAATAGAACCACTAACAGAAATCTACTCGTTTCGTTAAGAAAAGTTGTTGAATTACAAAATATAATTGCTCGTAGAATATCCAGTGTTGTCTCCTTTCTACATAACAAAATACCGAACTTTCGCAGTTGGCCAACAAATGAGCAGCTTGAAACATGATATATACCACTCTAAAGCTTGAGTTGAATTGTAGCAAGCCTAAAAGCAACACACCAAGAAAGATAATCACAAGGCCCTTCTACTAAAAGCAACCAGGTCCAGAGCATTCCTAACCAGAAATTTTTTTCCCCCTTAAGCAGTGTTCCCAGTACAAACAACAACAAGCCTTCTCCCACTAGATGGGTTGGCTACATGGATCACATGATGTCATTGTACTTTATCAACAACCAAATCCTCAGATAGATTGTTAACCAAAAGATCTCATTCATTCAGTGGCCTCATTAAGTTGTCCCAGTATACTTGAATAAATTTTAACATGAGACGGGGTACAGAAAAGCAAATAACAAATTGCTGACCTGACTTTTTTTGTTTGGATGCTTCTCCACCCAACTAATGAATTGCTCGATCTTGTCATCTACCTTCTTTTCGAGTTCATCTTCTCCACATTGCACCTATACAGGAGGAGGTAAAGTAAAAATGCTTAAATAGACGAAGATGTTGAGAAGAAGAAGAATAAAATGTTTTTCCAGTTGCCCATAATTTAACGCATTAAGAACGGGGAAATTTGCAAAAATAAGCATATTTCGAACGCCTGTGTTTTACCCCTGAGAAACTAACAGAAGATAACAAAGCATACGAACACATGTAAATAAAGCAACTAAAAGCACAATTAGAAACTGGCGAAAGCAAAGAAGGGCCATTAGAAAGGTGAATGCTAGAAAGTAGAAAGACTTCCAGATATGCGAAATCATGATAAGCAATACAAGAATAAAGGACCATGAGAAACATTTAATTTGCATATTTCCCCTCTAAACAATTATGAGCAGCTAATTGAATTAAAAATACATACGTAAGTAATATCAAATAGTTCCAAGTCTACATCTTTTGGACGGACAAGACCCAAGGCCCGATGAAACAGGATGGTGTGTAGTATGCCTGCAACCATATGAAAAGAAGAGATTTTCAAGATCAATCAAACTGGAAAAACTGCAATTGAACAGAAAAAAGTAATAATGAAAAAACCAATTTCGGGTCAGATTACATCGCAAAACTTCCCGTATCTCAAATTGCTCTAGTTCCTGCAAGCATGCGATGTTGCAATCAAACGACCACTCAGAATGCCGACATGATCAAAACTGAAAACTGCTTTCAAATATGACAGAAATTAACTGAAAAAGAAAAGTTTAGAAGACTCTTTCAGGTTACCAGTTCTTTAAGTTGGCAAACTTCACAGCTCATGGTTGGAGCAAAATGAAACCCTAGCCTTTCAGGGACGATGACAAAATTTAAAATTCGTTCGAAAGAGGACGAGTACAAGTAACACGAACGGGAAATCGACGAAGTAACTCGATGGAGGCAACCATCTTCAACCTCAAGAGGAGTGAGCAATTTGTACCACCGCCTACTTATTTCCAACTTCCACAACCCAGACCTCCTTGCAGCTAAAGTTATATATAAAAATTATTTTTATTTTCTAATTTTATTTATTCTTATTCGCAAATATTAATTTTCCTTATGTGCCTGAACATAAAATTAAAAGTATTTAACCTAAATAATAAAGACTTTCTTTTTATTTTAGAAGCCCATATATAGATTTTCTTTAAAATCAAAACATATGTTACACAAATTTTTCTTCTAGATTTAAGATTTAACTTAAATCCATCCAACCACTAACTAACCGTTAAATCATAGTATCCACCCATTATTTTGATTAAAATATTCTTTCTTAACATAATATTATCTAATAATTATCATTTAATCACATGTAATATATCTTCATTTAAAATTAAAAATAATATATTGTAATATTTTTTGTTATGCTGTTAAATCGATTATCATATTATAAACTAATTAATTTTATAAATAAAATTTTTATTTTGCAAAAAATTTAAATGTTGAATCTCGTTTCCTTATTAAAACTTTCTTGGGATGTCATCTTTTAAATATACGTGTTAGCTGAAGATGTTTTGTAACTGTTATAAAGTTATATCTTATTTTAATAGATTTACTAAAAATTATTAAATAGATTATTGATAAATATTAATGTTAATAGATTGACTAAAGAATTAATATAATGAGGGATAAAATATAAATATAATTTATTCTAATATGGTTTTTAATTAAAAAAATATGTTTAAAGAATTTTTCAGAATATTTCTTAACAGTATTAATAGTTTGAACTAAAATATATATTTTAAAAATAAAGAGGAGGTATATATAATTAAGGCAAAACAAAAAGGTAATGAGATTATTTTACTTTAAAATTATTTTGGTTTTAAATGTTAAAAAAAATTGAAAAAAGTATAAATTATATAGCTTATAATTATAAACAATTGAACTTGTTTATAAATTTTATGTTTTATATTTAACCAAAAATATATATTATAAACAGGAAATGAAAAATCTTTAAACTATTGTGATCATCCAGCAGACAAAAACATGTGCGAAAATACAAGTTAATTCTTTTTTTATTTTGCCAACAAATACAAGTTAATTCAATAACATTTTTTTCTTTTTTTTGGGGGGGGGGGGAGCAATTCAAGAACGATATGGACCGAGATGCTACATTTTACTTTGCATATTGGACTTGAAAGTGTTGAGCTTTTGGGCTTCAGCCAAGCTGAACCAGTAAGTATGGGCTGGCAAGCCACAGAGCCTGAGCCCATAAAATGGGTAACCTTTTGGTCGATACTTTACGTGTTGGGCCATAACCCGCACGTTGTAAACAAATGCTGATCTCACCAAGAAGATTATAAATGCTGCCAAACGACTTATATAGTTTATAGTTTAGTGGTACGAAAACTTTCATGTAAGTAGGAGGCTACAAATTTGATCTTACTTATAACTTCAAGCTGTTAATGGGCACATTTGGATTAGTTTATAAGTAACTTTTCAATCTTAATATATGGAATACAAAATAAATATGTGAAAAGAATTTTGTCTCAATTTATATGAAACTTGTTTATAAGTGTTTTTGAACACTATTACAAACAGGCCCAGTATAGGGCTATCTAATTTGGGGAAAAAAAATTATAAATGATAACGGTCAATGGTAATCATTCATCTGGGTGATGACAATTTTCAGAAAGAGACATGAAAATGGATAAAGCAATGGTGAAAGTTTATCACAAGGTGACAAGAAAAGAAGCTGGCATGGCCTTTCAGTTCTTCTGTTCTCCGTGACTGGCGAAAATGATCATCCCAGTTTTGTCTCAGTCTTTGAACTCACCTTCCCAGAGAACAAGATCAGTCTAATAGGACAAATATATATATATATATATTCTCAGAATCATATTGTCCCCATTATCCGGCATATACCTCCCCCGTTCCCACCTTGAATCACACTAAAACCTAGCACTCCTTTTATTCTTAATATAGGACCCAATTGTAGAACTGATTTTGATCTTAAATATAAGAATAATTTCTCATATTTGTCAATTTTCTCTAAATTATTCCTATGATACTCCCTCAATCATAATCAAGTAGAAGAAGGAGATGGGGTGTTAAAAAAGATGATTATGGTGTTTTAGGAAAAATGTGTCACTTTTCTTATAATTAACTAACTTACCGAACTTCTTTAATCTAATCAAATTAATTAAATGAGTCTTATATTAAGACCGAATGAGTATTTACTTATCATTTCAGCTTCTTAACACAGTGAAATACTACAAGCGTGTCATAGTTTTAATCAATTATTTAATTTCTAGCTAGCTAGATGTTATGTTATATGTGTGCCCCTCTTTCATATTCTTGATGCTATGATTTCTAATCTTAAGTTTTCAATTTTCATCGGATTTTCAAATCAACAAATTAAATTTGAAATTCGAAAATGAGATATTTAGATCGTTTTAAAAGGGTATTAAATTATATTCCACAATACTATTTAGCATCGTCTTGTTAAGATCAGCTGGGTACGTGGAATTGAATTCAAATTCAAGAGCCAATCAGTTACACAACAACCACTAGGGTTCAACAACGTACATAAGGGAGCTTTCGTTGCGGGTTTGAAATCAGCTAAACATAACGGACCTTGTAGGACAAGGCTTCTAAAATTTAGTGTTCCATGATTATGGTTAATCATAACTACCGAACACGTATTATGTTGTTCTCGGTCGTGGACTTAGCTTGTTGGGGCAAATTAAGAAAGCGACAGGAGAAGAAATATAATAATGAATCATGAATATTTTATCCGGCGTGAAGAACGGATCAGAAAGAAAATATATGATTCTTCCCCAGTGGACTTGTATATTTAAACCCAAGCTGTGGGGTAATCCCAACTAGTGTTACTTGAGTAATAATGACGTTTTGACGGGGATAGTTCTCTTTAATAATCATCGTTAATTAATGCCACAAGATCATTGCTTATGTTATTTTATCTATATATATGTGTGTGATAAAAAGGAATGAAAATGAAGTTCGAGTCTCTAATATATCTTAATGCCGTATGTAAGGATTCATTTTGCAGTATAATTGGCTGTAGCTGGCATGCATCGCATTATATTCCACTCAGAGATATTGCTACGTACAGTTCAACTTTTGTAGGTTCCTCCGACTTTGACGAGTGCAGAAAACTATATGTAGTGGGATGTGGGACGGCGAACGTTTTAGCTGTATTATTTCAGCCCCTACTAGTACAACTTTAGACTAAGGTTGTAACAATCCAAATCACAGGTTCTTTTCGATAGTGTAATCATATATGAATCATATGAATCATCTTCATCGATCTGCTTTTGGAAGTCTTACCAAAGAAAACAAATAGAACTAATAATAGTTAAGAGTTAATTAATCTTGTTCTCAAAGTATTCCCAAAGAAAGAGTTGTGGTTATTCGAAGGTTTTTTTTTTTCCTTTCAATATCTCTTTAAAAGTTTAGTAAAAAAAAATAATGGTGCCATACCCATTAAAAAACTAACATTAACCATACGATTAACATTTTTTTTTACAGTGAGGACAACATAAAAAAAAAAACTTTTTGAATACCCAAAGAATACTTTCAAAGCAAAAATGACTTTTAACCCTAAAACTAATTATGGCTGACAGATGGGGTTGATGATCATAAATATGCATTTTATAGGCCATGTTTAAAATGCTAGAGTTGGACTGTATTGAAGGGTCAGTGAAAAAAAAGCATGCATGTGGAGGGGAGGCGAAAAGAGGCAGATCGGTCATATAGTAATATATATATTAGCAGCATATCAGTGTGTATCTGCTTGAAAGATGGAATACTCACTCATGCTCACAGATTTCAAATAAACTGATAGAGAATGTCAGTTAGATATCATATCTTAATTACCTCCCACCACATCTTCGTTTGGGGATCCTCATTGTTGTTTAATCACCTGGGAATAATTGAACTACTGTTTGCTTAATTATAATTATAATTATACATCTGAGTGATCTGCATTCTGCAGTAGCAAGGCCTGACTAAAACATGAAACTCCCAAGGAGAATCAAGTTGCACACATCTAGCTAACCTTGGAAACACAAAATTCTATTAACAGTCACCATTGGTCTTCATGGTTTTTTGTGATTTTGTAATTTGGCTGTCAGATATGGGTCTAACTCCCATTAGAATCCACTCACATGCACAGAGACATATATATATATATATATATATAGACACACACACACACACACTTGTATATGTATATGAGATCGGATCTCTCTCTCTATACAAAGAATCTCTTGTCCACCATAGCTTTTGTCAGGTTTGATGAACACTGTACATGTGGTTGCTTTCGTTGCTGTTCTGAATCAATGTCATTGTGGAATGTGGATGACCTACCTCTACACGTAGTTTCATGCTTTTAAGGAGGGGACCATGCATTATGGCTAGACAAACATACACCAAACAACCCTCCATTATTCCTTTTCCAACCACACATACATTTCTCTTCTCACTCTCCTTGCTGCTGTTACTTCATGTGATCTCTAATATAGTATTTAGATAACTAATTTGCATAAATAAAAAGCAAATTAAGTTAGTAATTTATTAAAAACGTTTGTCGATTTTTTTTTTAAATATTGTCTTTAATTATTCGTGTTGGAACTATCCCGTTAACAGCTAGCTAGTTACCCAGCAACAACTCTATTAATCATGTTTGGATGAGATCTCAAACTCAAATTCAACATTAATAAGTTTGTGTTCATGCATGTGGTTGATTGTATCAAATGAAAAGGACAAGAATTATCCTATATATTTTATTTGTACTGTACATGTCTCCCTCCTGGCTCTTTAATTATACATAGCTAGATTCAGGGGTTTATCATGTCACAAAGAAATGTAACTAGGGTTTCAAATTAAAGGAATTGTGTTTACAACCTAAGTATCCACTAAACAAGACATGATGCATCTTTGATATGCCTGCAGCCATATGTGGTTGTGTCCTAAATCTACTGCTATGCTAATTAA